TGTGCTGGCAGCTCAGCCACCTGAGGCATCCTCATCAAGATGCAGAGACTAAAGTGGTACAAATCTGTAATCCCAGCATTCAGGAGGCCAAGGTAGGAGGACCGCAAGTTCAAGGCCAGCTTAGGCTGCATGAGAGACCCTGTATCAAAAAATAAAATAACACAATAAAAGGGAACTAGATGGGTAGTCATATATTGGCCTCTGGGAACAGCTATCTGTACACCCATCAACCAAAACTGCTGTTAAGGAGCCTTTTCTTTCCTTTGGTTAAAAATAACATGAAGATTTTTATCCCAAGTTATGTACACAGAGGGCCTTGCATGCATACTGTCATACTGGAAGTTCCTGCTCTGTCCAGAGCTGCTCCTCGGCAGGCTGACTCCTGCCTATAGCATTTGTGCCCTGTACATAGTCTGATGTTTCCTCTCAGTGATTCTGAGAAAATAGTAAGGTTTCATGAGTGTGAAGTGAGAGAGCATTTGAGTGCCAAATTGTTCCTCTAGGAACATTCCCTCTCATCTCTGTTTACCTTTCAGACTTTTGAGGGCTCAGTTGAGGTAAGACAAGTATGGAATGAGGTGCCTAACTTGGGTTAGTGCTGTGAGATGGTCTTTCTGTAAGCTGTGAATATGTGTTACTACCATTGGTTAATAAAGAAGCTGCCTTGGCGTATGGCAAGACAGGTTATAGCCAGGCGGGAAATCCAAGCAAAGATACAGAGAGAAGAAAGGCAGAAGCTGGTGGGGGGTGGGGGGATGAAATTGCGGGCTGCCAGGGAAGCAAGATGCAATGGAACATAGGTAAAGCCACAAGACACGTGGTGATACACAGATTAATAGAAATGGGTTAATTTAAGATAAAAGAGCTAGTTAGCAATAAGCCTGAGTTATAGACCAAACAGTTTATAATTAATATGAGCCTCTATATGTTTATTTGGGGCCAAGCAGCTGCAGGACACAGGAAAACTTCTGGCTACAAGTTAGAATAGCACCTGTGTGATGGTGAATTCAGTTCCTAGAAAAGATTTCCCTTGTGCTATACCTACAGCCAACATATTTCAGTGGTAACAAAACAGAGCATCTTGTGCATAAGTAGTCTTACAGCACACAGGGTTAAGGTGCCTTTGAGTTCATAAGTCCTTCCTGCTGGCTTCTGGAGCCTTACTTGGAGGTACATCACACTCAGGTACTGTCCACATCTATCAGTTTCAGCCCAATCACAAATGTGTGACATGCTGGTCATGCCACTGAGCCCTCAAATAAATGGTCCAACATTCATTGTTTTATCTCCTTAAGGTAGGAAACATTAGCATTCTCCTTCTGCAGAGGAGAGATCTAAAACATAGAAAGCCCAAGTAACTGTTGCAAGTTCAAACAGCTGGCAAGTGACAGCAATGCTAGTTCCCAGGCCCAGGCTTCCCCCACGGTACCCTGGTACCTATGCTGACTTCAGAGAGCAGCACGTTTGGCAAGGTTGAAAAGACAAAGAATTTACTTTTAGGGTTGGTTCTTGGGTAAAGAATTGACCCTTGAACTAAGCTCTGCAGGATATGTAGCAAGGCTGGAAGAGTAGGGAACAATGCCAAATACAGGGCAGATAAGATATGAGGTCTTAGATTCTCTCATGGGGTTCCTATTCTCTCCCTCATGCTACACTACCCCAAGACAGAACGTGTCTTTGGGCATCCTCGAGGGCAGCCAGAAGTCCATAAAGCAGATGTGGTCACTTGGCAAGAAACAGTGGGTTAAATATACCCTTCTCTATGAACAAGGAGTTAACATGAACTAGAAGTCAACTCTCAGGTTCAGGATCAAGAATGAAACTATTCTTCAGAATGATTGTCAAATACTATCTATTGCTTTTTTATTTTATTTTGGGGATTGTCATTGTGGTAGTTTTGTTTTGTTTTGTTTTGTTTTGTTTTGAGGCAGGGCCTTGCTACATAGCCTTGGCTGTACTAGAACTCACTATGTAGACCAAGTTGGCCTTGAACTCACAAGTGCTGGGATTAAAGACATGTGCCACCATGCCAAACTATCTATTGTTTTGTTTTGTTTTTAATTTGCACATTCCTTTTCACCTTGGTAAAACTAAGTTAACAGTTGCTTATTACACATTACTATAGTTTAGATCTGGAATGTTCCCCAATGACCTGTGTATTGAAGGCTTAGTCCTCAGCTTACTGTTACTGCAAAGTGGTAGAACACTGAAGAGATAGGGCCTGGCAGGAAGTATTTGGTTCACTGGAGACGTACCCTTGACCTTGAAGGGGTTTTGTTGTGAGATGCCAGTTTCTTTTATAATCTCAGCCATAAGGTAAATAGTTTGCTCCACCAGCTGCTCCCAACCTTGATGTACTACCATGCCACAGGCCCAAAAGCAAGATACCCAGTCAGTCATGGACCAAACCCTCCAAAACCATAAGCTAACATAAACATTTCCTCTTTTTAAGTTGATTATCTCAGGCATTTTGCTATAGTAACAGAAAGTTAACACATAGATGATGAATAAGTTTAGTTATAGATTTTTTTTTTTAATGAGAAGAAAGCTGCATTTTTTTGTATCTTTTTTATTTCTACCCAGTTTATCTTCCAGTCTTATACTAGGGTTGTTGTTGCTGCTGCTGCTGTTGTTGTTGTTGTTGTTGTTAAGACAGAATCTTATACTGTATCCTAGGATGAACTAGAGTAAAAGCCCAGTACTGCCTCAAATTCATGACAGGCCTCCTGCTTCAGCCTCCACAAGTACTGTCATTCAAGGTTCTTAACATCATGTCTCCAAGAATTTGGATGACAGACAAAACTTAGGCCATGTCTCTACTTTATGTCACACAGAAGTTTTGTTAGAAATCATGTTTAAAACTGTCTGGAGTTGAATCCAGGAGGAGGTGCTGGCACTTCTCAAGTCTGCAGTTCATATGCCAAAGCAGAAAAGGGACAGTGATGAAAGTCTAACGCCTGAGGATTCAGTATCTTAAAGACCCTAAGTCTCTGACATCTGGGAGCTACAAGGTGACAGAGCTAATGTAGGGTTTCTCAGAGTCCTGCTGTTAGATTTCTGAATGCATTTGGGGAGCTTGTGACAGCTTTACCAGCCACATGGGTCCCCTGACAATTCAATATCTCAAGTCAGAGAACTACCCACTCAGCCTTGTTATTTAATTACATTCCAGTCCATCTGAAAGCAAATTGCACTTCTGCATGCAATCCACACAGTATGACTCTTGACTCGAAATCCCAAGTTGTTGAATACATACTCATAAATATTTTCCCATTTTATGTGGGGGGTAGGAATAGATAACGTATTTAATTTTTATTTATTTATATGTGTATATGTGTGCCTGCATATAGGTGCAATTGTGGTGCACTTACACAAGGAGTCTGTTCTTGCTCTCCATCCTGTTGAGGAAGGTTCTCTTTCTTTCTGTGACTGTGCCATGACTGACTTGTGTGATTGTGAGCCTCTGGGTGATGTACCTGCCTCTCTGCCACTGAACCTCGCTGCATGAAAGCTGTGACTACAGATGCAAGCCACTGCAGCTGCCTCTTTACATGGGTTCCAGGGGTCAAACTCGGGTTGTCAGATTTGCACAGCTAGCCATTTTTAGCCATCTCCCCAGTCCTTTGTTTCATTTTATTTTTATTTCAACAGCCACCCAATAAAAGACTCAAGTAAAACCAGAAGCCCTGAGATTACCCAGACTAACTAGTGACACTAGCATCTCACAGGAGAGCATCTCCTGGGCCAATGCTAGGCTTTAAAAATAGCATTGGCTCTTTTTATCAATTTTTAAATAACAAGCAAAGTAAACATCTAATTTGTCTAGTGAGCAAAGTCCATCATAAGAATCCCCTTATCCATGGAGCACACATCTTCTTGTAACACAGCATCTTGGGGGAGTACCTGCTTCTAGGCAGTTTTTGCAAGGTGAAGGCAGCTTTGAGTGAGGACATCACTATTATGTGCTTTCCAGTTTATGAATAGTCATGGATATTAAGCTTAATCTTACTGTAAAACTGTGTACAGTGGATAAGTGCAGTGCTTTACAAGGAAAGACTTGGTTTTATACTATTCTAGCTGAGAATCCCTATATCCACTCCTTTATATTGTGTGATTTTAGAAATTAGCATCTTCTGGTGTTTTGTGCTGACTATGAAACCCATGTTTGATGCCTTCTGAAAAAAAGCCAGTGTCTATGTGTGCACTAGATGAGGACAATCAGCCATTTCCAGTTGGGGGATGGGGGTCATCTAGACCCTATAAATTACCCTACCCAGAAATAATAATCAATAAAAAGCTGCCACCCCACATGAGGGAGATCTAGGTATGAGAAGGAGATCTGTGTACCTTTGGAGCTGGGGAGGTTCTACAGAAAGAAGTCTAACTGAGCTGAGAGACAAGCCCTGAAGAGCCACTGTTCATCTTGCAGATAAACTCATTTCCTAAAGCTTGCAGTTGAGCCATCAACCCCTAGTGTGAGGAGTTGAGAAACCATCACTGGCTGAAAGTTTAGAAAGTAAGGCTAAAGCATTACTAAAGTGATTGGATTTTCCAACAGATCTTCATTTGGTGGATTTCCTGAGGTTTAACATATAATCTTAATGAAATACACAGTTGAGAAGTTACATGTTATTATGTGCCTGTTACATTAGAACTGTGCATAATAATATACTCATTTCAGGGAACTCTCTGGCACCTTCCCCAGTATGAGCCTCTATGACACCATTTTGCACTGACAGGCACTAACTTACCTTAAGGAGATTACAGATGGCCTTCCCAGTCATCCCTCAGTAACATGACTTGGATAACATTCTCCCTCAGATTAATGAGAAGAAAACTCAGATTGCAGAAGACACCAATGGACCCATTCTTAAATGTCATTAGAGTCAGGAAGGACAGGTCTCTATAGCCATTCCAGGATGAACCCAGGATCCACCTAACACATAGGTTGGGAAACATTACTTCTTGGAATAAGGCAACACAAGGCAGGTCACCATTACCTGGAAGTCTCTTCCTTCTGATGTCTTCTGGCACAGAATGTTGATATTAGGATGCTGGGCTTTGACAGTGAGGCGCATGCATCTGGTAAACAGTCCTAAATAAAGCTGCCAGAAAAGGTAAGTTCTGGGTGGGCTCAGCAAGCCAAACAAAGACTAAATTCACAGGAATGAAGGGAAATGGATGACTTTTCTGTTGGTGACAAGCGCTCCAGTGCCGGCACCAGCATGGATCTTATCGGTGAACACCATTGAGCGCTATTCCAAATGCTGTGGACAGGAAGGAGAGGCTTATTAAAAAGAAAAGTAAGCCAGTACTTCACTGTATTGCTTTGCATATACTTAAGCTGGCTGGAACAACAGGTTACTCTCCTCATAGCTCTGGAGTTTAGAAGTCAAGGTGCTGGGGAGGTTGGTTTCTTCCCTCTCTCCTTAGGTTGCAGATGGCCATCTCCTCCTTGTGTCTTCACTTGGTTCTCCCTCTGTGTCTTAATCTTTTTGTTTTTGTAGGCATGTGGGTGGTGTGTGTGTGTGTGTGTGTGTGTGTGTGTGTGTGTGTGTGTGTGTGTGTTGTATTCACATGTGTGGGGGGCAGTATGCACAGCCATGCACACACATGGAGGCCAGAGGAAAATGTTGGGTGAACTGCTTCTCACTCTATCTTATTCTTTGAAGCTAACAATACATTATAAATAGTAAGCACTCCTTAATGCCTGTGTTTTGTGTGTTAGATTTTTTTTTTAATTGTGGGCTATATAAGTAGATACACCCTCACAACAGACTTCATATATATGATTTTATGTTTTAGGTCCTCCTGGTCCCAGGGGTCCAAAAGGTGACAGAGGATCTCAGGGACCACCTGGTCCAACTGGCAACAAGGGACAGAAAGGAGAGAAGGGAGAGCCTGGTCCACCTGGCCCTGCGGGTGAGAGAGGCCCAATTGGACCAGTAGGCCCCCCTGGAGAGCGTGGCAGCAAAGGATCCAAAGGCTCACAGGGCCCCAAAGGATCCCGTGGGTCCCCAGGGAAGCCTGGCCCTCAAGGGCCTAATGGGGACCCAGGTTCACCAGGCCCACCAGGCAAAGATGGACTCCCTGGCCCCCAGGGCCCTCCTGGCTTCCAAGGACTACAGGGTACCGTGGGTGAGCCTGGAGTACCTGGACCTCGGGGGCTACCAGGCTTGCCAGGGGTGCCAGGCATGCCTGGGCCCAAGGGGCCACCCGGCCCCCCAGGCCCCTCAGGAGCAATGGAGCCCTTGGCTCTGCAGAACGAGCCATCAGAGACCAATGGTAAGTCCAAATGGCCCTTTTCAGCCAGAGTTGGGGAGAAACAGGGCAGTGTATACACTTGGCTAAACCAACCTCCATGAGTCCCCTAGTTATACTTAGCATCAGGGGCCCTGTGTGTCCCCCTTGATGCCTCACTGCTATCACTCGGGCCCCTGTGTTTCTGCCCAAACATTATCAGGTCTCTAGTCATTTAGGTGAGCCAGGCCCTCGGAAGACACATGCACCCCAAACCCTTCCTTCCGGGTATCCTGCACTGCTTTCTGACCATCTTTCCTCATCTTTCTCCTTTCCCCCTAGAAACAGACTGCCCATTAGTTCATCCTTCCTCCCTAGAAACAGACTGCCCATTAGTTCATCCTTCCTCCCTAGAAACAGACTGCCCATTAGTTCATCCTTCCTCCCTAGAAACAGACTGCCCATTAGTTCATCCTTCCTCCCTAGAAACAGACTGCCCATTAGTTCACTCCCCCAGTGTGCACCATGTTTCTGTGACAATGTCTACAATCAGGTTTTGCTTAAGAAGGTGCTGTGGCCGGGTGGTGGTGGCGCACGCCTTTAATCCCAGCACTCGGGAGGCAGAGCCAGGCAGATCTCTGTGCGTTCGAGGCCAGCCTGGGCTACCAAGTGAGTTCCAGGAAAAGGCGCAAAGCTACACAGAGAAACCCTGTCTCAAAAAAAACCAAAAAAAAAAAACAAAAAAAGAAGAAGGTGCTGTGGTACCTTTGCATCTCTTTGACAGTCTTTTGCAAAACTCTGCAGTAGTTAAGAACCAAGCCATGTGGGTTACCCATGCTTGTCCACGAGTCGAACTTTGGTTCTGAACACTTGTGTGCACTAGTTTACAGGTTTCCGCTGATCCAAGAGTGACAGTGACTATCAGGCCCATTCCACTTCTTCATTCTGTCTGATCCAGATACAGAAAAACAAAGACCCAGTCACTCCTTTCCAAGTTGTGTGGTTTTTACAACTGTGTACTCTATAGCCCACATTTGTGAACATCTACCTAGGTTCCACCCAAAGACACCAGGCTTCCATTGGCACGCAGGTGGCATGACGCTGTCCCTTTGGTATCTTAAACACAGCTGAGGAAATGCAGAGTGCTTTGTGTTTTTTAAATCAGCATTTGAAAACTTTGCATTCTTAGGCTGTCCACCTCACTGGAAGAACTTCACAGACAAATGCTACTATTTCTCGGTGGAGAAAGAAATTTTTGAGGATGCTAAGCTTTTCTGTGAAGACAAATCGTCACATCTCGTTTTCATAAACTCAAGAGAGGAACAGGTATGGTATGTCAGCTGCACACTTGGTTGGAGAAAACTATGATTTAGAGATCAGTTATACCTGGAAATTGCATGCTTCCCAGGGAGTCAAAGAGATCAAAACTTCATGGTCTCATAAACAAGGAAGGCTGCAGTTTACAGGCATGGACTTTATCCAGGGACTAGAACATATGGACTCTCATGATACTTAAACCTACAGATGTATAGCTCCTCCTGGTGGCTCTTTGGAGAATTGCAGCACAGCAAAGACGTGAGGAGGGAGGTTGCCACTAGACACATGTAGAGAGAGGCATGAACACAGTAGGTTTGGGATGAGATGCCATATACCAGGTTTGTTTGTTCAAAAGGGGTTGGTAAGGGCCCGTGTGTGACAATAATAGTGGCCCCTTATTAAGCCCCTGTTGTGTACAAGGCCCTTTTTTAAAACCTTATAACAACCCTGCAATATAAACCTTATAATTGTCATCCTCCCCCTTGGTTTTTTAAACAAAGCCTTGCTCTGTAATCCTAGCTGGTCTGGAATTTGCAGTGTAAGCAAGACTGGCCTAGAACCTATGACTATCTCCCTGTATCTACTTCTCAGGGACTGGGAATATAGGCATGTGCCACTACTTTTGGTTCCCCCATTTCACAGGTAAGATACACTGAGGCCCCACAAAGTTTAAATGATTTCCTCTCACAGGGAAAAGGTAAAAGCAGAGCTGAGACCCAACTGGCAACAATGTTCATTTGGTGCACTCACTACCCATCTCCATCAGATACAACCCTGAAATCTGGTGTTGTAGTAACTGAGGAAGCATATGAAAAGCAACCGTCAGAGGCCTGGGCCCAAACAACTGCTCAGTGACTTGTCTTTGGTACTTCAGTTCTGGTAGAGGTTCATGGATGGGTGGTTGCTGGGAAACAGGACACAGAGCAGTTATCCTTAGGGACTCTGAGGAAGAAGATTACTATCACTTGTTAACTTGGCCAAGAAGGTCAAAGACCCTGAAACAGTGCTCACAACATAAACTCAATGCAAAATGGATGGCAAGGGCCATTAAAAACTCCGAGAAATGTGTTTTGTCAATTTTACTAAACAAACGAGGCCTCCTTTGTGTGGGCTAATAATTAACAGACCTCCCTGGCTTCCTTTTCAGCAATGGATAAAAAAGCAGACCGTGGGGAGAGATAGCCACTGGATTGGTCTCACAGACTCTGAGCAAGAAAACGAGTGGAAATGGCTGGATGGGACGCCTGTTGACTACAAGTGAGTTCTCGAAATTTCTAGACCATGTTCATTCTTTCCTGATTTCCTACAACTTTAATCTTAATGACCTTATATCCTAGTCCATCCTCTCAAGGGCCTAGGCTCCTGGGACTAGTTGCCTGTTTCCAGTAGGGAAGCATGGTAGATGTCACTATGCTGTCAAGTAGGGCACTTCTGACCAAAGTGTTACTTTGAGTACTAGGAGAAAGGATAGCAAAGCCTCTCTGAATGTTCAGTGTTCACCCAAACACATTGCTGAGGACTGGGGCAGTCCTAGCCTTGATTAGGCTTCTGAACCAAATGGGATTATACACTCCAAGGTTGTAGCTCTCCTCTATACAGGAAGTCCAAGTGTGCTGCACAGAGGATCCAAGAATACCCATCCTCTACAGATTAAAAGATGTCTAAATTCTTCCAACTCAAATTTTACCTCTTTTCTCAAATCTTGCCTTACTTCTTCTGGAGAAAAAGTGGAAAACCTATGAATACCCATCTCTGAGGGACCTTCAGTTTGCTTGAGACAAAAAAGATAAACAAACAGCAGCATATCACAGGAAGCTGCTGCGCCATGGGGGAGGAGTGCTTCCAGTCTGAGGTAGTCTCTAGGCCCTGAGGTAAGACTTGAGGTAGCTGAAGTTGCATAGGGCTGAGGCGGTGGACAGAGAGTCTCAAATATGTACAGGAACAGCCAGGTCTGAGCAGGCTTTCAGTACGTGTATGATCCACCCTGGCCTGGAACTTAAAATCTTCTGCCTTCAGCACCCAAGTGCGAGGTCAGACCTGCATCACTATACCTTACAATTCTGTACTTTTAAACTCTCCACATGATGACAGAAAGTAGGTAAAATCAGAAGGCCATCTCCAGAGGGGGAAAATGTGGACAAACACTGAAGTGGAGCATCTGGGGATTTTAGGTCTGCCCCAAAGCTGAGTAGGTACACTTGCCTGCCAGGTACTCTCTTTGCTCTCTTGTGCCTGCCTCTGGGAGACAATGGGACTCAGGGAAGCATCCAGCATGGCAGGGATGCTCTCTGCAGGACTCCATACAGCTGTGGGTGTTGATGTGTAAATCAGGAGCTGTGGTGGCTTGGAGGAAGAATGAGAGGCAGAGGTTAGTAAAGAAAAAGGCAAAGCTCTTTCTTTGGCAGTCAAGAGAGCCAGGATGTCTTTTTAAAGAAGTTGAGAAATAATAAGAAGGAAAATCCATCTTCCCACTTTTCTCACTGCCATAAATAGAAAGAAAGATTTGGGCTTGACTAAGAAACTCAATCTTAAACTTTATTGGCTCACATGGGATTTCCTGAGCTGGAATATTGCTAAGTGCTCCAGCTCCCCAATATGACACTTTGCTGCTTTCCCGGGGATCTGGAAAGAATTATGTGCCTGGGGAGGAGAGCACTACTGTTGGTCCCTGGTCCCTGAGAGGGAGGGATGACATCACCTACCATACTGGGATTTTTGTCACCAGTCACAGCTACCTAGGAGCCTCCCGGATTAGGCTCCTGCACTAGCCACCACTTAGACTGTGTATCTCGTTTTTCTACCCAAAGGAATATATATACATGGAAAACTCCCCAGGATCAAATTCTAAAAGCAAGAATAAATTAGGCAGACATTATATGAGAGCTCAGTGACTGAAGACTAACTTAGTTTGACATATAATAATAAACACTGCACAAACTAGAGAAAGAGGTACCATCCAGGGGAGGGGGTACAGAGTGAGCACTGGGTTCAGGCCTGGACCTGACACCCTATGAGTTACCTCAGTCACATGAAATCTTCATGTCCCCATGTGTAAAATGAACTTGACTATGTTAATACTTCTTAAGTGTGGTTTCCTAACACACACACACACACACACACACACACACACACACACACACACACACACACACACGCATGCAGAGAGAGAGTAGATTTAATATAGAGCTTGGCACCTGGAGAAATACTGCCTGTGGATGTCGGTGTTATTACTATTGTTGTCATAATCATGTTTGCTACCACAGTAAAATGCTACTGAGTTGGGGAATATTACTCCCTAGAATTTGTACAGTGTGCAGGATCTTAGTTAGAGATCCACACATAGCATCTTGCAAGAATATTCCTTGTCATGACGTAGGAATTGAAACAGGCTTGCCAGATGGTGGTGGTGCACACCTTTAATCTCAGCATTCGGGAGGGAGAGGCAGGTGGATCTCTGTGAGTTCAAGGCCAACCTGGTCTATAAATCGAGTTCCAGGACAGCCAGAGCTGTTACACAGAGAAACCCTGTCTCAAAAAAAGGCAAGTGGGGCAATACAAACAGGCTTCAGCATCTCAGGGTCTCCTAGCTTTATATAAATGCTTTTCCAGATGCTCAGATTCCCCTTGCCCTCCTTTTCTTTGATTCTGAGGCCTTCAATCATGGGACCATCCATCCCATCTCCCCTTCCTCCCACCAGCAGTGGTTTCTAGATCCACAGTCATCAGAGACCATTGTGAACAGTTACTGTGAACAACTATACACTAATAAACCAAAAGCCAAAGAATGAACACATGTCTAGAAACAAACAAGTTGCTAAGACTTAAGAAGAAATGGGTAAGCTGAGCAAACTAACAAATGGAGGTTCATGTGACCATCAAAGCTTCCCAGCAGAGAACAGCCCAGGACCAGATGAAGGAAGGATTCCTGCTAGTCATCTTAAACCTTTCCAGTACCAAAAGCCGGTGGCTCTGGTACCATCCCAGGCCTTGCACAGCCACAGGAATTAGTGCACAGCTTTTCTTTTACCCTTTTTCTCCAAAGCACATGCACATGTCCCTTTGAAATTATTTAAGGATTATGTGATTATTGTAAAAGAGGAACCAGTTTTCAGGGAGAGACCTCTCCTTGCCTCTGCTTCACTCTGTTTAGGGAGACAGGGCTGGAACACATGGATGAAAAGCAGCACTAACAGAGAAGAGATGCCAGGTACTGAGGGCACATTGAGACCTGAACTCAGGTTTATTGTCCTTGGAGCCTTTCACAGTTACTATACTGAAGGAGATCAGGACCAGCTAGGGAAAAAGAGCTCGTAAAATGTCCTAGGATGGGGCTATGGCCAGGTCCTCGTTGCCATAAGTCTACGCACCAATGTGATTTCACACAAATACTGGAGGACAGTGTAGATTGCCGAGATTTTACATGATAACAGTCTCTACGTTATCCTGAGGTATCCATAGGGAAGTGGTGGCTGGAGCATGGAGTATGAATGAGAGGTGTTATCCTTGTGATAAACTACATGGTGGGCCACAAAATAATATCAATAAATTTAAGAGAACTGGGGTTGTAGAGACTATGTTCTGTAGCCCCAAACAAGTAGATAACAAAAGGTTATCTTCCAAAAGGTATTTGGAAATTAAATGACATAGACCAATAAAGAGACTATCACCACACACTGACCATGCTTGATCTTATCCATAGACCAAAGAGAAAATAATTACAAAGAAAATCTAAAAATGTTTTTAAACAATAAGAACATATCAAAATGTATGAGCTGCAGCTAAAATAGTATTTGGGGACATTTACAGCCTTCAAACATTTGCTTTTTGTTGTTGTTTTATTTTGAGACAGTGTCTCTTGATGTAGC